ACAACACAAAAAAAAAAAAAAAAAGCTCCATTGTGCTCTCCATGGCCCAGCACAAGGGGAGCAGGAGCAAGTGCCTGGTCGGCCACGGTACCTCTCGCTGATGCTGGGGACGGAGTAGGAGCCCCATGAGCCGGGCTGGGTGCTCAGCCACTCCTCGCAGGTGGCACAGTCGCGGCGCGCAGGCTCGGCGCGGGGGGCCAGGGAGGTGTGCAGCTGCTCCTCGCAGGTGGGACACACGTGGCAGCTCGTCGTGTGGCTGCGGAAGAGAAAGACGGGGGGAATCCCTGTGAGCCCCGAGAGCAGCCAGCAAACACCAAACCCTCCCGTGAAGCAGCCGCTGCCTCTTCGGCGAGCGGCGTGTTCATGTCGAGTCGTTGGTATTTTAGAGTCAAAAACTGCATAAAGATGTGCCGTACTGGCGTGGTCAGGCACGGCGAGGTTTGTAGCTAGAAATAACACCAGTGAGATCCGTGGGTGCAGTCAGAAGAGTGGCACAAGGTTTTGGGCAGATGAAGAGCAAACCTACCAAAAACGGGAACGCCCCAGCACGGGCTGGTCCTTGTCATCCGTTATCTTCAGGTGCATCTCTGGAGCTTGTCCCTTCACCCTGTGCTTTTGTAAATCTACATTGTAAGAGCTGAGGGGACAGGAGGGAGAAAATTCGTAGAATAAAAAGCAACTTAGCAACATGGAAAGATAGTACTAACCACGCAAACATATACTGAAGGTCATTACTATCACTCAGAGCTGAAAAGGGAATACCCAGTTGTCCTCAGGGATAGTTACGATTTAGAAGGGGCAGCTTAGGCTCACTTACTGTTTTTTACTGTCTTTGCATCTCAGGATGATCCCAGCTAGAATTCCAAGGGCTACTGGGACAACTAACAAAGAAAAAAACAAAACAAAACAAAACTAAATTTGGTACGTAATTTCAGTGAAAGACCGTGGTTTGGTAAAAGACTGGCAGCAAAAGTCTCCCCTCTGAGGCTGCCTGTCACCACCCAGAGGCTCCTCCCAGTCAAAATAATGCAAAATAATACAAAATAATGTCTCTACACGCAGAAACCGCTGCCAAGTGTGGGGCCATGATGAACTCGCTAAGGGTCTGATCCTCACTGATGCAGTGGTTTTACAGACAGCCTCCTGGTTCCTTTGTATTTTAAACACACTCGCCGTTTTTAGTACTTTCTTTTGCAACAAGGGCTTTCCAAGCTTCACTAATCTCTTATCTTTCAGTGTCTGCCAAGGCCTTTATAATCTAAAGAGTGACAGACAGTGCAGGTTTTGGTTGGCTTCTTACACTGGCTTCTTTGGCCTCTTTCATTTCATCCTCGATTGATGTAATGTTTTATACTCAGACATGGACAATCCAGCAAGGCTGCTGTGTTACCCACAGCAGAGAGACCCCTGGATCCTGATCAGGGACACTCAGCACTAGGGGTAGTGAAACAAATAAACCAAACCCACCGACTCCGGGTATTTAACAGCAAATAACAGCTTGGGGCTAGGGAAGTATATTTTCAATTTTTAAACTACTTACCAATGCAACAGGGGATGAGGATACTTGCTAGAGAAGAAAATAACGAAACTGATGTTAAAAAAAAATGAAGCAAACAATGCTGATGATAACTAAACAGGGAAGTTTCTTAATCTGTGCCCACAGAACAACACTTTTCAAAGCCAGATAACCACAACGCTGCTGAGAAGACAAAACGCTATGCAACAATGTCATTAATTACTGCACAGGTCATTATGCCCTTCTGAGTCCCTCACCCCAGCTCTGTCCATGGATGGAGCTGAGCTCTGTAGCTCCAGGCTACCTCCACCCTCAGCAACGTCCAAATACAGCCAAAATAATGTTTCTACTGAGATGCTCGGCTGCTCGGAGGTTCGGGCATCAAAACTCCACCCTGTCTACTGGCAGCTAAGGACTCGCTCAGCTGGGATCAGAGAGAGAAAAGGGGATTAGAGCAGGGAACAAGCCTGCGCAGCCCCCTCAGAAACTAGAAGGTGGACCCACGGAAAGAAATAAAGAAGGCACAGTGAGAGCAGAAAACCAACAGCATGTGGAGTCACAGGCACCCAGTGTGGGTGCAATTACAGCAATTAAAGGGGCTCTGAGGCAGAGAGCCTCTGCTGGACTCTTACCTAGCCAGTAAGGATTCTCTGCCATCTTCTCTTCGGAGGGTTTCGTTTGGTTTGTCACTGCCGTAGTGCTAACTACAGAGAGAAAAAATAAAAAGGAAAACCACTCGAAAATATATTTTATGTAATTCTCGTATGCTTCAGTGAGGAGAAAATGTAGCATGGGCAGGTGACTTGTGCCTCTGCGCCTGTGACAGCGAGAGCTGTGTGAGAGTCACGGGGACCTGGGGGTGACGGTATGAGCCTTCCCCAGGGCGGGGACTCTGCTGTCCCGCCTGGCCGTATGGCCTGGCTGGTGTTGGACATGAACTATAAACCCATTCCGAGGTTTACTCCATCAGCTTTGCACTTCCTGACACTCTTCACGCATGGTTTATGAAAATTGTGCCCGTTCCTCTTGAAGGGCAAAACGAAAAGCTGCGATTGTGCTCCCAGTGTTCTTGAGCTGAGCCTGGCACCCCACAGGGCACGGACTCACCAGCCACCGCTGCTGGGACCAGATGCTGCCCCCCTGGAACCAAACCCCACGGGAATGTCTGTCTGGGGTGGGGTCCTTCCCTTTCTGAGAGCAGGGAATTAGGACGAATTAACTGCACAGCAAGAAAAGCTACCAGAGAACAGGAGGAGTCCCCAGCAGAGCTCACCCCTGCATTCCGGAGGAGACCCGCTCCAGACGCCATCCACCCCGTTCTCCGTTGTACAACGAAGAGTTTCATTTCCCACCAGCTGGAGCCCCGGGTCACACGTGTACATCACCACCGAGTCGTACGTGAACTCTGTCCCGTTGTCATTGCGCTTCCCGTTGGGAACAGCTGGAGGTGGAGGGCAAGAAAGAGCTGGGGGAGAAAAGAAAAGAATTCAGGAGGTGACCTGTGGGATGCTCTTCTCCACGATGGGAAGAGAGGAAGACCCAAGGGCTGCTGCACACATGGGCTGGCAGGGCACCAGTCACAGCAGCAGGGGCTGAAATGGGAGCACGGGCCACCCTCTCGGCACACAGGGGTGGTGGCAGCCTGTGGGGACACCAAAGCCACCACATTGTCCATTAATGTCTATCTTTCACATGCAGAATCATAGAATTATGGAGTGGCCAGGGTTGGAGGGAAACTTAAAGATCATTAAGTCCCACCCCCTGCCCTGAGCAGGGCCACCTTCCACCAGCCCAGGTTGCCCAAAGCCCCGTCCAACCCGGCCTTGAACCCTGCCAGGGAGGGGGCAGCCACAGCTTCTCTGGGCAGCCTGTGCCAGGGCCTCACCCCCCCCACAGGGAAGAATTTCTTCCTTAGATCTGATCTAAATCTCCCCTCTGTCAGTTTAAAACTGTTCTCCCTGTCCTATCCCTCCCCCTGATGACAAGTCCCCCCCCTTTCCCACAGCCCCTTTCAGCCCTGGGGGGCCGCTCTAAGGTCTCCCTGGAGCCTTCTCTCCTTCAGCTGAACCCCCCAGCTCTCCCAGCCTGTCCTCACAGTGGGGGCTCCAGCCCCCCCAGCATCTCCATGGCCTCCTCTGGCCCCACTGGAGCAGGTCCGTGTCCTTCTGCTGTTGGTGCCCCCGAGCTGGACCCAGCCCTGCAGGGGGGTCTCCCAGAGCAGAGCAGAGGGGAAGAATCCCCCCCTTGCCCTGTGCCCACCCTGCTCTGGGTGCAGCCCAGCACACAGGTGTAAGGCCTCAGTGATGCTACTGGCTAGTCCCTGTTTTCATCACACCAGCTGTCTCCCTCACGGAGATAATCACCTGACTTCATTTAGCAAAATCAACAACACAATTCAGTATTTCTGAGTTGGAATATTTGGTATTTCCAGTCACACACAACTTCACTTACCCCAGCAAACTGGAATTTGACTCCAGGCAACACGATCTCCCATTAGGAAACACCAGATGAGAGGTGACACTCCCTTTAACGTGTACCTGCAGGGAAAAAGAGGCACATCAGCACGAGGGTTTGTGGGCACCAACCCAGGACATGTCACCCCAGAGAGGTGCCGAGGACTCGACAGACCCGGCCCCTCGTCCTGGCTCACACACCAGTGGCTCTGGCCAGTCAACTGGGATGCAGTGGGCAGCTGGCTTCACACTCACCCATGGTTACAAACTACCACTGCTTTTGCACCAAAGAGATGATCAGTTGTATCAACTCGCCCATGTTCTGGATTTGCTGGCATACCACAAGATTTCTCTGAAAAAGAGGAAGATTATCATTAGAACGCTACAAGGATGGGGAAAAAAAAAAACCCACCCGGACATACTTTTCACGACAGTACGGTGATGTCAAACCAGGCGTCTGGTGGTATTTGGTGCTAAACGTCATCCGGAAGAGGCAATCCAAAAATACAACTCAGGCCTGGCCCTCAGAGCACGGCGCTGCAGACGTGGCTGCGGGAGGACGCGGGGAGAAAAATGAACCGAGATGGAGACACTCACTCTGACAGAGCTCGGGAACTGCTGACCAGGTTAAATTGTCAAGACAAGTGCTGGTGAGGAGCTGGTCGGTGGTGTTCTCATAGCCTGGGCGACAAATGTACTTCACCGTGATATCAACAGGATAAAAACTCTTCGTTTCGTCTTCTTGGGATATTTTAGCGAAACGCACATGTGGCGGGCTGGGGCAGCTACCTAGTGACAGTGCAGACAACCGAAGTGTACAGTCACAGAGCAAAAATAACAATGTTTTGCATTCGGCTGTGTATAAACAGAAATCCAAGTGGCAACGCTCAAGCCTCCCTAAGAACGTGGGTACCACAAATATTTTTAAGCTGATTGGTAATTTGTGTAATTCAAAAACATTCCTAGGCAACTATTTACCGGGAAAAGATTTTAAAAATTAAAATTTTCCCCCTTTCAGTCGTTTACCTCCCTTGGCAATCCCACTGATGGAGCTTTTGAGGGGGTGACATGCAGCCAGTTTGCGCTGCGGAGGTTTGCGACCCCCCCAACGCCAACCCCCGCCCCGTAGCGCTTCTCCCCTTTCCTGTGCTTCCCCAGACTGTTGATCTATTTTTATTAACACGCAAGCGCTGGCACACGGCTCCAACGGACTCAGCAGAGTTAGGAAACAGGGGCAGGAAGAAATCCTCTGATCGGCAGCTCGATCGTGTGTCGCTCGGGATGAGGAAACCCTCGTGGCGGCGATTGCTAAAGTGGGAGGCGTTTTCACAAGCCGCGCGCGACTCAAAGCAACTCGTTTTGGAGAAAATGAAATACTCACGGACACAGAACTCCTGGAGGTTGGACCACTGGGAGTTTGCCAGGCACTGGACGGTGTCTGGCAGCAAGGGGAGTTTCACGTACCCCGCCAGGCACCTGTACGTCACTTTGGAGCCCACCAGGAAGCTTCCCCCGTGTTTCACGTCCTCCGGGGGCTCCGCGTGGCTTATGCTCGGCAGCGGCCCGCAGTCTCCTGCAGCAACATAAAACCGGGTTTAGTGGGGCTTCTCCTAAAGCTCCCTGGGGCAGGATTCACGTGTGGGGTCCACAGGAGAGCACAGCACCCCACCCCCCACC